GAAAATATTTGATTTACAAATAAGGAATCCTACTTCACGGAATTTCATTTATCACGGTAGGGTCTAGAACCGATTAACCACGATAAACGAGGGTTCACTGTAAATCACAGTTGTAGTATATTTCCAGTCAGTTAATTCTGAACTTCTCTATATGACTTTGGTTCTGATGCTTGCTGTGTTTGTTGAGTGAATAGAAAAAGCTTCCAATCCCTCAGTCCTTCCCAATTATTAATTACTCATCTTGTGTTTAGCTTGTGCTGTATATTTTGGTTTGTGTTCTGGTAGATGTTTTGGAAGAAGATGAATTTGATTTTTCCACAAAGCAATGAGTGTAGACATGATCTTTGATTCATCGAGAATTTCTTTCCCTTCTACTAATTTTCCTGCCTATTATGAACCATAAGTAAACAGAGGAATAACATTCTATAGATCATAATCAACGTACAGAGTGATAAGTTTGGTATTTTAGAAATATTGTTACACTTATGACCTAAGAATCCCACAATCAGGATGATGAGATAGGATCCCAATCCAGTTCCATCCAGTTCTGCCACCTTCCCCCACCACGGGTCCTAGCAGCTTGGGTGGCAGTCAGAGGCACAGTGGCCAGGCAACCCAGCTTGGAGAAAGCTCTCATCAGTGTCCCGAGGTTTTCAGGCGTCTGCAAGCACTCCCCACAGCCAATAGGCCCAAAAGGAAGGTCTGCTCAGCGAAGGATTGGTGAAGGAGGAAGCCCAAGAGGAGATTAGTGAGACTGTCAGGAAAGCCTATGCCTGCAAAAGTGAGGATGAAACACAAGAATGCAGCAGGAAAAGATAAATCCAGACAAAAGGTACAAGCAGTAGGGAAACAGTGAAGAAAAAGCTCAAGGTATTTACTAACCAAGACACTAAAGATTTATTTGTCAAAAATGGAAAACGAGGAGTCCAGCCTGTGGTGAAGCAGGAGAAAAAGAAGCCAAGTCAGATTAATATTTATGTACCATGTCTTATCAGTTGGCCCTGTTATCAATCATCTTGTACAATCCAGAGGAATATTCTTTTTTTTTTTTTTTCAGAGGAATATTCTTATCAACTATTTTGTAAATGCCAGGTTTTTAGTAGCTCTAGAAACATTTTTAAGGAGGAAATCCCATTTCATCCTTTTTTATAAAAGTGTAAATGCATTTTTTAAAGACGTGAAATCATTTATGATTTTTTTACTTTTGGGGACAACCAGAAAATATTGGGATGATGAATTGTGGGAAGATTTGACTGTCTTGGGGTGTCAACATAACATTCCATAGCATGGCTGGGTAGGGGGAGGTGGGCGAGGTTTTGTATCCCTAATACAAACACGCTCAATGACAATTTGGAGCCACTGCCATGTTCCACTCACTGTCATGAGTTGAACATTTAAAATTCTGTTTACATGTTGGGTTTATTATTTTGGTAGAATTGTTTTCTGAAAACCATTCTGCCATCATGGCTTTCTTATCAGAAACATATGCATTCTGGAACACTTTGGTCACGGTAGTCCAGTTTTCCTAATAACTTTGCTGTGTACTATGAAAGGTTGAACATTTGCGTGTATAGTGTGTGACATTAAATTGTGATTGAGTGGTGCTTACAGTGTACCAGCTTACCAACATTTGAAGATTTGTGTTAGCTTACGCCATCCTTTTGCACACCATAGGTAAGGTACCTTGCTGATTCAGTCTGTATGATATTTTAGGACTCAGTGGTCTTTGAGGATGTAGCTGTGGAATTTAGCCAAGAAGAATGGGCTTTGTTGGATTTTTCTCAGAGAAAACTCTACAGAGATGTGATGGTGGAAACCTTGAAGAACCTGGACTCAGGTAAGGATAGTTTCATTTATCTTATGTAGTTCTCTGTTGTTGTTAGGTACCATCGAGTAGACCCATAGCAATCCTATGCACAACAGAATGAAACACTGCAAGGTACTGCGCCATTTCCACAATTGTTTCTGTGCTTGAGCCCATTGATGCAATCGTTATGTAAGTTCTTCTCAAGGACCTTCCTCTTTTCCCCCACTCCTCTGTTTTACCAAACATCATATCCTTTTGCAGGACATAGTCTCTCCTGATAATATGTCCAAAGTATGTAAGATGAAACCTTGCCATTCTTTCCTCTATCGTACACCCTAGCCTTTCTTCTTCTAATACAAAACTGTTTGTCCTTTTGGCAGTCCATGGTACATTCAATATTCTTCTCCAGCACAATTCAATTGAATTGTTTCTTCCATGATTTTCCTGATTCAGTGTACAATTTTCACTTGCATTTAATGCAACGGAGAATACTATTGCTTGGGTCAGATGCACCTTAGTCCTTAAAGTAACTTCTTTGTTCTTCAATACTTTAGAGGGCTTGTGCAGCAGATTTGCCTAATGCAATAAACATTTTGATCTCTTTCCTGCTGCTTCCATGATCATTGATTGTGGACCAGAGTAAGACAGAATTCTTGAGAACTTCAACCTTTTCTCCATTTATCATGATGTTATCTGTTGGGCCAGTTGTGAAGATTTTGGTCTTCCTTACATTCAGTTGTAATCCATAGTGAAGGCTCCAATTCTTGATCTTCATCAGCAAATGCTTCAATTCCTCCTCACTTTTGGCAAGCAAGTTAGTGTCATCTGCATACCACAGGTTAGTAAGCCTTCCTCCTATCCTGATACTATACTACACTCTTCATATAATCTAGCTTCTCTGATGATTTGTTTAGCATATAGATTGAACAAATTTGGTGAGAGGATACAACCCTGATACATACCTTTCCCAATTTTAAACCTTGAAGTATTCCCTTGTTCTGTTCACACAGCTGCCTCTTGATCCATGTACAGATTCTGAATGATCATAAGGAAGTGTTCCCAAATTCCCATTATCCACTGTTTGTTATGGTTCACACGGTCCAATGCCTTAACGTAATCAATGAAACACAAGTAAACATCTTTCTGATATTCTGTGCTTCAAGCCAAGATCCATCTGACATAAGCAATGATGTCCCTTGTTCCACATCCTCTTCTGAATCCCACCTGATCTTCTGGCAGTTTCCTGTCAATGTGCTGCTATAACCATTATAGGAGGATATTAAACAAAAATTTATTTGTGTGTGATATTAATGATATTGTTGTATAATTTGTGAATTCTATTGGGTCACCTTTCTTGGGAAGAGCACAAATATGGATTTCATCTAGTCTGTTGGCCAGTAGCTGTCTTCCACATTTCCTGGCATAGATGGTGTGTTAGTCCGAGTAGACTAGAGGAACAAATTCATTGACGCTTATATATGTGTAAGAGAGAACTTTATATCAAAGCCCAATTGTATAATAAGAAACATCCCAGCTCAGTCCAGATCAGGTCCATACGTCCGTTATTAGCCCATGTGTCCCAGACTAGGCCTTAAATTCCTCTTTAGATTCATGCAGCCAAGCAATGATGCTGACTGCAGGAAGATCACATGCCCGTGGGTGGAAAGTCTTGTAATTCCACTGGTGGTGGAAGCATCTCCATGCTGGCATGCGTATCCATGTGGCTCCTCCAGCTCCAAGGCTCTGGGTCCATCAATGTGTTTCCATGTGACTTGTCAACAGGAAATGTGAAACAGAGTGTGCCCGACCTCCAGGGCAGAAAACAGGTGTTCCTGGAATCCTCAGGAGAAGGCCAATACCCACACAGAGGCCTCATAGGCTATGACTTGATTGACAGTCTAGACTCCACCCCTTTGCTCAAGTTGGGAAAAGGTTATGTAACTGCCACAGATGGTTTTGTGCTTCCCATGCTTCTTCAGCTTTCTGAAACATTTCAATGGGTCTTCTGTCAATTCTAATTTTTGGCTAATGCATTCATTGCAGCTTGAACTTCTCCCTTCAGCACCAGTGGTTCTTGCTCATATGCTACCTCCTGAAATGGTAAAATGCCAACTAGTTCTTTCTATTTGCCATTGCCAAATTAAGGTAACTACCAAGTGCTTCAAAGCCAGTCTTTCTTTGCATTTATGTTGCTCATAAGATTCTTTAATGTTTTGTTGGTTCTTTTGAAATGCCACTTAATATTCTGTGTCAGTTTTCAAACAGGATAATAATAGACATACATTCACTCTGAAGAATGACACCTGCTCCTCCATATTAGGAGAAATCTCTGAATTCCATGGCATTGAACATCAGCACAACAACCAGAAACAGCACATGAGGTAAGAATTACTCACATGACAGTGAGCAGTGAGGAGCCCTGGTGGTGTACTGGTTTTGCATTGGGCTGGGATTCACATGGACTTCAGTATGAAACCACCAGCTATGCCTCAGGAGAAAGATGGGGCTTTCTACTCGCGTAAACAGTTATAGTCTTGTCTCGGAAACCCTGTCTGACAGGGCTGCTATGAGTTGGCATCAACTCGATTGCAGTGTGTGAGTGAGCAAGCGAGCAAGCAGTGCCTCAGAAGAGTCTTAAAGTGTCACGACGTGCACATGCATAAAAATCCTCCAAGATGGTGTGTTTGCATAATTTTCACAACACACTATTTCCATAAGTGGAAAATATAAAGCCTTATACATGTGAATTAGACATTGAATATTTGAAACATATTTCATTTGTGCCAAACTACAAAGCTTCATTAATTAGAGCAGTGGTTCTCAACCTTCCTAAAGCTGCGACCCTTTAATACTGTTCCTCATGTTGTGGTGACCCCCCCACCAACCATTAAATTATTTTTGTTGCCACTTCATAACTTTAATTTTGCTACAGTTATGAATCGGGCGACCCCTGTGAAAGGGTCTTTGACCCCCAAAGGGGTCATGACCTACAGGTTGAGAACCGCAGAGTTAAAGGCTATGTGAATGTAATGGTAGTGACATGTGAGATGATTAAGCCTATGCAACATGAAACAACTCAGGGTAGAAAACAGACACAATTGTGAATGGTTACAAATTTAATTCTAACAAAATGATTTCCATTTTTCACAGAATGTATGCAGGAGATAGCCTTTGTGGAAGAAAAGATGGTAAAGACAATAGATGTGAAGCAAGTAGTGAGCATGGAAAAGCTTTCGGCTCCATTGGAAATCTTACTAATCTCAACAAAACTCCTGCCGTTTTAAATCCGTTTGAATTCCTTGAGAATGGTAAAGGCTTCATGGATCATTCAGCATTTAAACATCACATCAGATCTCACACAGGGTATAAACCTTACCATTTTAAAGGATGTGGAGAAGATGGCGCTTGTTTCTTTTACCTAAAACCTCATGTGAAGGAGAAATTTTGTAAATGTAAGGATGATGGGAAGCCTTGTCGCTGTTCCTTACCTCTCAGCACACATATACGAAGTCACAGTGGAGAGAGACCTTACGAATGTAAGGAGTGTGGGAAAGCCTTTAGTCACCTCTCAAGTGTATACAGACATATAAAATCACACAGTGATGAGAGACTTTTTGAATGTAAGGAATGTGGGAAAACCTTTAGTTGCTCCTCATTCCTCCGTACACATATGCAAACTCACAACAGAGAGAGGCCATATGAATGTAAGGAATGTGGTCGGGCCTTTAGTTTCCCCTCTTCCCTCACTTCACACATGCGAACTCACAGTGGTGAGAAACCTTATGAATGTAAGGAATGTGGGAAAGCTTTTAGTCGTGCATCATCTCTAACTGTACATTTAAGGTCCCACAGTGGAGAGAGGCCGTATGAATGTAAGGAATGTGGGAAAACCTTTAGTCGATCTTCACACCTCACCACCCATATCAGAACACACAGTGAAGAGAGGCCTTATGCATGTAAGGAATGCAGGAAAGCGTTCAGGCAGTTTTCAGAGCTTACTAGACATGTAAGAGTTCATACTGGAGAGAAGCCTTATGAATGTAAAGAATGTGGGAAAACCTTTTGTCAGTTTTCACAACTCACTAGACATGTGAAAATCCACAGTGGAGAGAAGCCTTATGAATGTAAAGAATGTGGGAAAGCCTTTAGTCTGCTTTCATACCTCACTGGCCATATAAGAACTCATAGTGGGTACAGGCCATATGAATGTAAAGAATGTGGGAAATCATTTAGTCGGTTCTCATACCTCACTGGCCATATAAGAACTCACAGTGGATACAGGCCATATGAATGTAAAGAATGTGGGAAATCATTTAGTCGGTCCTCTCACCTCACTACTCATAGAAGAACACACAGTGGTGAGAGGCCTTATGAATGTAAGGAATGTGGGAAAGCCTTTTTTCAGTCCTCACACCTCACTAACCATGTAAGATCTCATAGTGGAGAGAAGCCTTATGAATGTAAGAAATGTGAAAAAGCCTTTAGTTGTTTCTCATCCTTCCGTAAACACATTAGGAATTTCCATGAAAATACACCTTATGATAATAATGAATGTGGGGGTAAAAAAAACAAATTCACTGCCATCGAGTCAGTAACGACTGTAGGATAGAGTAGAACTGCCCGAGGGTTTCCAAGACTAATCATTTACAGAATTCTGCCAGATTTCTGCTGCAGAGCAGCGGTCGTTTTGAACTGTTAAAAATCCAATGCATAACCACTATGCCGCCAGAGCTCCTTCATGAATTTGGAAAGGCCTTAGTTAATTTTCACACCTCATGTGGAGTGAGCCTCCTGTACAGTGAATTGCTGTCCTATGGCCCTTCTAACCATGGTCATATAACTCCTACAAAACGGTTCAGTGGGAATATGCAAATAAGGTGAGTGGTATCTCAATAGGTTTAAAGCACCAATTTCATATGGGGAGGGGAACATCAGAACCAACAAGAAGATAGGCCGGAGTGGAGCATGTCCTGACATTATTGGGGTCCCTGTGTAGAAAGCCATGTAAACATAGGAGACAGAGCTTAATGCTGTAAGAGGAGCAGCATAAGATAATAAGCAGCAGCAGCAAGTACAGCAGAGCAAAGGATGGGTTCAGAACAAGGAGAGGAGCACCTTATGTTGTAATTCATATTGGATTATTTGATCTTCATCAGTAAGGACTTCAAGTTCTTTTTCACCAAGCAAGAGTGTGTCATCTGCATATCACAGGTTAACAAGTCTTCCTCCTGTCCTGATGTTAGATTCTTTGTCATAGAGTTTAGCTTCTCATTTGTTCAACTTGACATTGAACATGTATGGTAAAATGATATAACTGACACACAGCTTTCCTGATTTTAAACCATGCAGCATTCTCTTGTCCTGTTTCAACCATGGCTTCTCGGTTTGTATACAGGTTCCACATGAGAACAATGAAGTAAATGTTCTGGAATTCCCATTCTTAGCAATGTTATCTCTAGTTTGTTATGATCCACATCATGTGTCACTATTCTTTCTCTACTCAAATTGCTTCACCACCATTAACATTGGCTTGCTGCCCCCTGAATTTCTCATCTATGCTCTGGAGTTACTGTTTTCAATTTGATCCCATTAAAAGAATGTGATTTTAATTCTTTAAAAGAATGTAATGTATATATCAAACAGTCTTTACAAATGCAACTAAACTGTTTGGTTGAAAGATTACTTCAGATCTTTCTGATTCAGAGTTTAAAGATCTCAAAGCAATAGATTGGAGGACTCGGTCTTAGTCTAGTAAGTCTGGACTTCATAAGAATATGAAATCCTGTTACACATTTTCCCCCCTTTTAGATTAGGATTCATCTAGTTAGTCCTTGGTTGAATTGTTCAGTACTGGTAACCTGACATCATCCTCTTTTTCTGGTCTTGTGACAAGAGAGGCCTTAGTTCATGGAAGCATTAGGCCTGGAATCCAGGTTTTACGTGGTGTTCTGGTTCTACTTTTTCTTCAGGTGAATAGAGAATAATATGTTTTGCTATTTTTGGAATGGCTGCTGGTAATTTTTACGACTCCATGTGCTACTCACACAACTGTCTCAGTGTCTCACTCTGATTCAATTCTGGCTCATAATGACCCTATAGGACAGAGTAGAACTGCTCTTCAGAGTTTCTGAGTCAAACTCGATGGAAGTAGAGAGCGTTATCTTTCTCCTGAGGAGGGTCTGGTGGTGTCATCCAGTTGACCTTGGGATTAGCAGCTCAATGCATAACCCATGATGCCACCAGCAGGTAGACTAGAAATAGGCTAATTGACTAGATTTCCTCCAGGCCATGGTCATAAAGTTTCCAAGCAAGAAAAAGAATCCCATATGAATAATGGTTATACAACCTGAAGAGTCTAGTGAGTGGCACTGAATTACACATGTGGAAGTTATGGAATTGGAAAATGTTTTGTTAGGTGTATTTTTAGAAAATCTATGTGCCTTGTGGTCTAATTCTGAGGTTTCTTTTCTTATGAAAACTGTTATCATACTAAAAGGCATCATTTCTTATGACCCACACTGTTTTTGATTATTAGTAATTGCCTCAAGTTCTCAATTTCTGCAAATAAGGTTGTGTCACCTGTGTACAACACCTGCTTCTATCCTCTTCCATATCTAATGCTCCATTCGCCAAATAGTTCAGTTTATTGAGCAGGCTCTCACAAATGGAGTAATCATAGGAATGAATGCTCCTTTTCAACGGGGAGGTACTCCTGTAAGCAGAGTGTTCCAATTCAATAAATAGGACTATGTGAAGAATAGAGCTCTGTGTACAGATTGAGTAAATATGGGGAAAAAGGAGAAAAGCCCAAAACACGTTTTTTCTGACTTTAAACCATGCATTGTCCCATTTTTATGCTTGAGCAGGTCACACATAAGCATAATCGTTATATCATTTCTTGTGGTTCACACAGTTGAATGCTTCTGCATAGTTTGTAAATACCATTTGGATACTTCCCGCCAGTCAAAATTCATCTGATATCAGCAATGATTTCTAATTATACATCCTTTTCTAAGCCTGGGTTGAATTCCTAGCAGTTCCTCTGGCAGTGTACTACTGAAATCATTATTAAGCGAACTTTTACTCACATGTAGCGTAGGTGATACTATCAGATAATGCTTGCATTAGGAATATGTATGGTTACAGAGCTCTTGTGTCTGATGACAAGTAGCTATCCAATTTTTTTTTTGGCATAGACTATTGAGCACTTCTAGAGAAATCCAGGAGGGTAAAGCATTAGGAGGTTTGATTAGTAGTTTAAACTGTACAATACAAAGTTGATTATCTAAAATGTAGATCCCCCTAGCTTACAGTAAAAAATTGTTAATAAAATGCATAGCATTTTAAAAATTACATGATTCATTGTATTGGGTAAATTTGATGCACGAGACCTCAAAAAAAAGAAAGAAAGAAGAGAAAAGAAAGGAAGCAGCAAAAGGATGATCGATGTCAGGGTACACGAAGGTCACCAAGGGGCGGCAGCATGCTAGAGTTCTGTAAATGCTGAAGAGACAGATCTTTCGCCACAGCCCACAGAGAATAGCACCCCCCTACAGGCGGTACTCTGCAGATTTCTAGGCTCTGAAATGGAGGGGAAATAAATGTTCATTAAGCCATTCACTTGTGGTATTTCTGTTAACAGCAGCATTGGATAACACATACAGGCTCCCATAGGAGGGGTAGTCATAGGGATTAAGTCCCATTTCAAGGGGGTTCTGCTCCCTTTAGCGAAGTATCCTTTGTTTCTTTTACAAATAGTATGCTGTCCCCAAAATACATCAGAATATATTGCATTTATTATAACCAACTGACAAAGTATCTTTAGGACATTTTCTGTTGTTTCCTAGGGTTTGGCTCTGGAGGCCAACTGTACCAACAGGCCCGAATTGTCTGTTACACTCAAGATCCTTTGCAGCTGCTGTGTATAGATGGGTAACAGTGGCATTATTTTGTTTAGTTCAGACAATACAATCCTATCTGTTCTGTTATCCCATAAATCCTACCCTCCAGGAGGCTATAGACTTGGGATTATGTTGGAATTTATTTGCCAGATGGATTAATTCAGCTGCAATAGAGACTAAACCCTGTGGCACAGAGGGTAAGCACTCAACTGCTAATCAAAAACGCGGTTTGAACCTACAAAAACGTTCCACAGGAAAAACGTGGCATTGTTTCTGTAAAGATTATAGCCTTTGAAACCCTATGAGGCTGTTCTACTCTGTCAATTGTAAGTCTGACTAGTGAGGGGTAAGGGTGCATTTGCCCACCCCTTGTCTGGTCTGTTTTGGACTGAATAAAAGACCTCTTTCTCTGACTCCTCTACGGTTAAATGGTGTCTTCTGCCTCACTGTCATCATTCAAAGGATCCCACGGGCTAGTGGTCCCTGTTGTAGGGCAGGCTGTTAGTTGGGACACCCTTTTTTCCTTCTAGTACAACACAGCAGCGAGCCAGAGCATTCTGTCTCTCCTCCTTTTGCTTACTCCATGGTATTTGCTGAATCCGTTACCCTTATGGAGATGCTGGACCTCATATCCCTTTCTGACTTAGCTTCTTTAATTACTGAAGGCTTGTCTCAGTTTCTAGTTGGGCTTCTGTAACTAATCTGACAGCCCTTCAAGGAGCCCTAGTGGCATAGTTGGTTACACCTGGGATGCTAGCCACAAGGTCAGCAATTGGAAGCCACCAGCTGCTCCCAGGGAGAAAGACTAGCCTTGCTACTCGAGGAGAGTCACACACAGTCTCCCTCAGAAACCCACAGGGACAGTCCTACCCTGTCTTCCAGGGTCATTGTGAGTCGGAATTGACTCACTGACATTGCGTGGTGAGTTGGACTGCTGCTGCAACTTACATCCGTCCTTACTTAGGCTAGCTTGATGTATCCCTTCTCACAGTTCTGCTAGCCTCGTGGAGGCTTGCCTGTGCTCAGAGGTCACCATGCATGTAGCCAACTCACCAAAGACCCCTACACCAACATAGGAGACCATTCCAGCATGTTTCCCCTCAGGTCCTTCTTTTGCCAAACCCACTTGGGAGAATCCTGAGCACTGCCAAACCTACCGTCCCACCAGGCCAGCGGTTGGAGCAGCTTCAAACATGACAGCGGGGGTCTCAGACTCTTAAGTGGCTCTGAACCACCCTCAAAACTGTTCACTGTGGATTGTGAAAAATGAGAGACACACAAAATAACCAAAAAACAGGTTGATCAGACCAAAGCTTTTAACAAAAGCTTACCTATGAAGGGAAGCACTGTGAAGCTTGATTTTTCAAGTGTCAAGATTTATCTCGGTTTTCAAAATGTTCACAGTTTATATACCTTAACAGCAGAACAAAAGGGAAAAGCAGTGTGCTTCTGTATAGCACTCGGATCCTTAGACACTATTTTGAGAAATATCTTTCCAGCTGATAATTAGATTTGTTTCCTTAAGAAAATGAATCTGTAGCTGCTAGCTGTGGGCTTGAGGGGATTCTAGTTAGCATAGCAGTACTGTATCTCCAGAGGCTTTCACAGGCAGCGTCCCTCGATGTTAGCGTGTCTAAACCCCACACAGATGTTTCAAACTTAGGTCTTAAAATCTATTCTTTCTCCAATGGTAAAATTTCCGTTGGAGAAATGAATAAGACCAGCTTTGCCTGGAACTTAAATATTACTTCTGAAAACACAGCAAGACCTCCCTATTTTTGTTACACATAGTTAGTACACAAACATGTATATCGGGAGGGAAATAGCGCTCATAGATAATAGGGTTATAAAAGTATTTTGACAACAATTTCAGTAATTATTACCCCCTACTTCCTTCTGATATTAAAACTCTCATATAAATCTGTAGTCCATGAAAATGAATAAACCAATGTGAAATCCAATTTATACTAATAGATTTTCCCCTTGAATTCAGACTCTCCTGGGTGCAAGTGACAGACATTCATCTGAAACTAAGTGAAGCAAAGGTAATTTATTTGTTTGGAAACCTAGAAATTCACAGGACCTATTGAGCTTCAGTTACTGCTGGATCAAGGGGGATGTCAAAGGTATTGTCAGAGTTCTAGTGTCATCACACAAATGGTTTATAAAAATGTTATCACACTGTTTACAGTAACGCAATATTCAAATGAGTTCCCATTTACTGAAATACACTTTTTGTAATTTTCTTTGGAATTTCCGTCTGATAGTGTGGTTTATAACCACAAACGAAAATGGGTCTGCTAACTGTATAATCATAAGCCTTCATTGATCCCAGCTGATAGAATGTTTTATGGACATCTGTGGTTCAAAAATTGTGGAAGTATACATGAGGGGCAAATTATTTCTCTAAAGAACCTGGTTTAAAATCTTTTTTATTGAAGAGAAACTTGATATTTGCATACGTGATCGTATGCAAATGTCTACCAACTGTGCAAATATCAAGTTTTTCTTCTCCCAAGAAAAGTAGAAAATCTTCCATCGCACAGATATGTGCGTTTAAGCTTACAATAAATAAGCTTTCAAGAAAACCTAGGCTTTTCTCTGTCGTGGAAATAGGAGAGGACAGAGATACCCAGGTCCTACGGGAAGGCAGTGAACGAACCTCCACGGCCACTAGGTGGGGGTCCTCCTCCCGGTCCACTCACGGAACCTTTTCCCTGCAGGACCCGGAGTCGGAGTTGCAGGTTCAAGGTCCGGAAGCTTTATTTCGTTGCACTTCCGCTGTCGTACGAGGAAGGCGTTTGAGCCCCTAGGCGTCCTGCCTTGTCCAGCAGTACGGGCATCTCAGAGGGGCTGGTTGGGTGTTGGTGCTCTGCGCCAGCGGCCCTGCGTATTCCTGGCCCCGGCTCTCCCGGAGCTCGGAGGCTCTCTGTAGCCGGTCTGCACCGGGACCTCCCGCCGCCTCCTTCGCGATCCCGGCCCCCAGGGGCGGAGCTGCTCTGCACCGCCCACTAGGTGGGATGGCCTGTGTGCCCCGCTGCTTTAACAGGTAAAAGGTGGAAATCCTCACTGAGTGGATGTGGGTCTCGGATCAGCGGGGTCAGCATCTCCTGGGGGCTTGTAAGAAATGCGATCAAGAATCCCATTTGAAGCTCAGGCTAGTGGGCCTGACGAATTAGTGCCCCCCTCTCCCCTACTGCCTTCGGCGCCTGCCCCTGGCCTCCTCTTTGTTTCCTGGACGTTTGCAGACAGGGCTTTTGTTTAGTGTCATTGGTCCTACAGAAAGTAAGGTGGTCGTGAGCAATGCCTGACGCTGTCAATTAAGCATTGGCTAGCTAACCTCAAGGCCGGCGGTTCAAACCCACCAGCCCCTGCTAGAGAGAAAGACCAGCATGTCTGCTCTAATAAAGATTGATAGCCTCGGACACCCGGTATAGGGTCGCTATGGGTGGGACTTAGGAGCCCTAGTGCCTAGCTATTAAGCCTGGGCCGTTAACCACCAGCTGCACCGTGGGAGAAAGGCAACACTTTCTACTCCTGTGAAGAGTGACAGCCTTGGAAACCAACAAGAGGCAATTGTACCCCATCCTAGCGGGTCGCTGAGTCAGAATTGGGTTGGATGCAACTGGATGGCTGTGGGTTTTGGAGGGTTCC